AGGGGGGAGGGGGGGGGGGTAATGATAAATTAATGAATCAAAGATTATTGCTATACATATTTATGCAATTTTTTGGTATATTTTAACAAGAGTGCTGCAGGGTGGAACAATATAACGTCCCATGCCAATCTGACTCAAAATGCTTCTGATGTAAATTAAAATTGAAACTATGAACTAAGTGTCAGTCTTTGTATGAGGCACATATATACATACCAAGTTGCATAAACATCAAATGCTATATAAACAAGTCTGAGAAAGAGAATACAGGCGATTCCTGTTAATTTACTTAAATTGAAAATGATAGCTTTCATCTTTGTATATGTTATATAACGGATTTTACTCAAATTCAAACAAAGCCTATATCCTTGCACATAGTGTTTGTTTTTACAGAATTTCATTGAAATTATTAAAATAGACAGATACAAAATGAAAACAGACAGAATTATAGATGGACAGTCGGGTGATTACGATAGGGCACACGCATCCTCTGAATGCAGGGATCTGATTAATAAAGCTAATAAATTAAAAGGCAGACATATTTTCAGCCATACTTAATAAATATGTTTGCAGTTACTCACATTTGTTCTAGTGGGAATGTAGGTAGGAGTTATTTCAGAAATCCCCATATTTCTATGTAAAAACCCTAAAGTGTCACTCATTTTATCCCAAATTCCCCAAAAAATCTTCTGAGTGGGTCATCAGGAAACTGCAGACATATGGATGTGATTTGACTAAATAATTGCATAAAATAATTCAAAGTGTGATTGTCTGGTCCCTAAAATACAAAAATGTCTTGCAAAATACATGTGTAAGTAATTTAAATACAGTACTGTACCTAGCTTTTATAACACAATTTGCAGAGTAAATTCTTGTTTACATGTACATGATACGAAGATTAACATTATACTACAAAACCATTCAAAATGTATTCACGTTTAAAGTTTGACACAAACCTTGAAGACATCTTTCTCTAACAGTGGGTTGAGTATGGAGGCTTTGGAGGCAAACCCGCTGAGCTCACTCTTCCCTACGATAGAGATCACCACCACTTTCTTGTCCTTGTTTGGGATAGTACTGTCAAGCAAAGGGAGATAATCTCATCACATTACATCCATTTACACTTGTTTACAATCTGAAAAAATGGCCATTGCCCAACTAACTGATTGAGTGGAGAGGGACTATTTGAAACTATTGTTTGCCTGTGTCACCTATTAGGACTGTTTTTTTATACGTTCTTGTTTGACAGAATAATAAATTACCATTCTATTTGTAAGCATTTTTTTTCAACAATGTTTGGTCTTTAATTTTACCTGGACAGTCAGTTTGCAATCATTTCTTATACTCTACAATGACAACTACAACATTTTTCAATTCTATCAATGTTGTAAAACACCTAGTGGACACATTTTCTGTTAGGAACCTTTACATCAGGGATGTAAGAAAAAGTTCAAGTCACTTGGCGGGGCAAGCAGACACCAAAAACCCACAGGCCTCAGTTGAATTTTCTACTTGCCCCACATTTTCATGCACTTTTGATCATTAAATGTGTTTTATCATTTTGTTTAAGTATGTTTAAGGAGAAATGAAATAGTTGATAGAATGTACATATTGTAAAATGTTGTTTTTTCTCTTTGAATTACCAGCAACAAACGCTAACCTGAACATGAACACATTTCTGCACATACCTGTCACTACATACACAGTGTCACAAACACAATTTGCTGACATTTTACATAATCCTTGATGAGATTACACAAACCTTCCTTCATGAGATTACACAAACCTCATTAATATTACACAAACCTTTCATGTAATGTTTGGGTCAGTGATAAGACTGAAGATGAAAGCTATAATGATAGTAAATGGTGTGGTAGATATGACATCATGATACAAAACAGACGCCATTGTGTGATTCTCATTAACAGCATCAGAATGATCCCATAACATGGAGTGTAAGCATGCAATGTCTGCCACCCAACGCCCAACAGTTTTCGAGCATTTCAAATCTTCATGGAATCATAAAACAAGGAAACAAGACATCACAATTGTGAACATGGTGCAAAACAGATTTTACTTACAACTGATGCAGGCTAAAATTAAATCAGCTGCTTGCACGTGGCAATTCAGTCAATGATTTGCACATGCCTGTATCTGAAAACTGATTGTCCCCGGGCGTCGGGCAAGTGGATTTTTACACCCCTGAATTATATGCAGGTAAAATTCATTCTTCAACAGATGTGATCTCGGTTTCATAACTTTCGTAAGTTGTTCATTTACGTTGGTTTATATCGACATAAGCACTCATGTCCAACTTACTGAAGCTTGAAGATTCACTAAATTCAACATCTCAAAATGTTGTGCGACATAATATCGGGGCATGTTCGATCAGGACTTTCCTTATTCCACTTGTGTCGCTCATGATCAGTACGCCGTGAGTCTGTATATTCAGGACCATTCATTGGCGAAGATTTTCTGCTGCATAGATGTTGGAACTAGGGGCAAAATCTGTATTTTTGTGGGAATTGCGGAATGGCACATCCAAAATAATTAACTGGTATATCCCCCCCCCCCCCGCCCCCCTATTTAATTCAAGGCAGCTGCATGAGTGTGTATGTAAAAACTCCGGTACCAGAACATCTGGACTGGGTCGATCGCCAATGACCAGGTAGCTCAATTAGTAGAGCTTCTTTTAAGAATTTGGATGGTCCCGGGTTCAAATTTTGGCCCGCCCAAGCATTATTCTCCCCTGTTGTAATGGTGCCATGGGTTCCGGGGCAGCGACCTGGGGAAGGAAGGGAGGGATGAGGCAGTGTTGGACTGGGTTGGTCGGACAAGGTTGTTAGATTGGTGAAGGGTCTGGAGTTTGGAGTGTCCTGGGTTCGAGTCCTGGTCTGGCTGTGCCATTGTCTCCTGTTACAGTGGTGCCTGTGACTAGCTCTTGTTTCAAGTACTGGGCAAATGCTCTGCAAGGGGATATGTATCCGAACCTTGGTTGTAAATAGTGTTGTCTTTAGCCGATAAGAGGCGAATTGAAGCCTTATAAAAGGAGAGAGGAATGTAGCGGAACTGGACTAGGTCGTCCGCTGACGACCAGGTAGGAAAGTTCAATTGGAAGAGAGTTTGTCTAAGAGTTTGGAGGGAGGGTCCCGTGTTGGAATCCCGGTCTGGCCTAGCTGCGATAACATAGCTTTCTTACATTGAAAAAAGATCTGCATCATTCTAAGAGTGGCTAGCTGAGATGCTATAAAAAAAAAAAAACTCTGGACAAAAAATCAAATACTGAAATGAACAAAGGGCAATAACTTTTGAAAAATTGTTGAATCAAAATTCTTGTAAGGGAGACACAACTTCATATCATGATTATAATGTATACCAAGTCTCAAAGAGATCGGTCGAAAAATGTAGGAGGAGATTGCCGGACAAACAAAAGTTTATGGCGGATGGACGGACAGCCCCATACCATAATACTTCCGTCAAATTTGACGGGCGTATAAAAATCGAAACGACCACCATGGCAGATCACGCATGATGTTATCTCGGCTATCCTTTCTATATATGGCCTGCATGGCCAAATAAAGTATTACTATTGATGACGCCATGTTTACTACAATTTCTATATTGGGTCATGACACCCATACGGGCCATATATAGACGTCTGACCTATATCGGAAGAGAGACGAACTTTCCAACATGGCGGTCCATTCAGATTTTGATTGTGCTTGCTGCGTAAACTTGATAATTAAACAACAATTGAGGCAGTGTTTAACTTCAAGTTATATAGAAAATCAACAGAAATAGTTAATACTATGCCTATTTATGGATGTGGAACAATTTGCTGTCAATTAATTCTAAAATCGCCCCGGTGTGATTCCCACTGGGCTTGCTCCATTACAAGGCATGGGAATACTTGGCCGGGGACAGAGGTGGCTGTGTATTGATTAATAACTATAAGAGTGAAGCTCTTTAATGGTAACACATGCGTGCGTAAACAAAGTTGCTTCCCCTTGCTACACATTTCCCTTGATTTTTTTCATCCAGAAGTAGCAGTCCAGTGGGGAAACCTGAAGTGTATCCTTGAAGCAAAGACAATTATGTTTCATTTGTGCTATAGGAAGCAGAATATAAAAGCAAACGTAACTATTGTTATATTTCCATATTTTCAGATTTTGATAAAAACTAATATACATTCTGAGTGAAAAAAGTCCATCACATAAAATGTGATACTAACATGCATGAATCTTCGTTCAGATATTTTCTGAAGATCATTTTTGTCATCAATCAGGTTCTGTTAATATTTCTACCGGGAGATATCTTCTCAAAGTGCAGGCATTAAAACCAATGCCGGGTCTATGTGTACATTTATTTGTTCATCGTCTAAAATTTCATCAGCTATATAACTTCACATCATAAAAGAAACAATTGATAATGCATTAAATTCATGTTGAAATCAACAATGATTTTTCAGGCCACTTACACGAGTTTAATGCCATATTTCAACATTGTTTTACTGTTTTACACCGCATGCCGATTTATAAATTGTTACACGCAGAAATTGTTTTATTTTATTTGGCACCCTTACCTGTCAAACCTCGTTGACTGTAACAAAATTTTAAATTCAACCTGTGTTGTATGGTTATTGCTCGACTTGTCGACTTTAAATAAAGCTCATCTTATCTCATTCTGAAATCAGTATTATCTCACTCTGATCGAATCAGTAAATATCAGAGATCAACAAAAGCAACGCTCCTTTTAGGCTTTGCCTTTTCATATTATTACTAGGTCTTTTAATCGGTTAAAAGCTCATTAGAGCTTATGTTTTGTAGTTTGTAACTATGCCGAATTTAAATAAAACTTTCATAATCTCATGTCTGGCCGTGCATTTTGTATTTTTCCTCTCCTGTTTTATTACACGTCGTTTTTGGAATATCTTCCCCTTTTCAGAATCAGACATGATCGTATATATACAGATAACAAATGCATGCAACAACGAAAATATATCAAATATCAAACACGACTAAAAATGCAGCTTTGCTTACTGTGGATCCAAAACTAAGGGGAACGACAACACTCCTAAGGGCGCAGCCATTATTTTGCTTGGGAATCCCGAGGTAATCCGAAGTACATTTTCACTTTGCATGTAATACTGAGAAGAGTCCCGAGATTTTCCGAAACTCTAAAAACCTTTGTCGATGTACCTGAAACGTTTGTGACAAGGTTGTAAAATGAGCTTCTAGAATACAGAGATCTGATCGACCTTGTCAAGATCAAGGTCAAGACCAAGGTCACTTTGCCGGTACGAGACACTCAAAATGGGAGACCGAAAATTCTTTGTCGGAGGAAACTGGAAGATGAATGGCCTGAAGGCCGATATTGATGTCATTGCTGGTTTTATGAATGCAGGCAGTTTAAGTGAAAATACTGGTAAGTTTCTGATGTTAACTGTCTTTCGATGCAGACGATGGTGAAACGATGTGGACGTGCTAACGTGCATGTGCATAGGTAATACACGTCTAAATAATAATATTTATTCGGTAAAAGCAAGATACAGGTACAAATATCACATATGATCACAGATTTCAATTGCATAATAATCACAGATTTATCACAGTATTTAGATTATCACATCAAAGTTAATATCACAAATTGTGGAGCACTATAAATACAATGTATCTGTTTGACTAAGCTTTAACCTAGGATATCCCATGAAAGCTGGGTGGCAGCTTATTTCCAATGGGGTCCTCTAGTATAGATCTTAATTACTTAGATAACAAAAGGTCCTAAGGATTTGACCTTATAATATGAATATAAGATGGTATAATTTCTCGTAATAATATATATATGAATAGAATAAGTTGTAATTGGTCAAATATGATGATGATATATTATTTCATCAAAATAAGATGTTATTTTATTTGACGGTATAAGATGGAGTTGTCATTAGCAAATATGATTTCCTTCTGATAATATATATATGTGGGGCTATGCATGATGTTGTTTCCACTTGTAATATTAAAATATCAGTTATATGTATCACTGTACATATCATAATGCAAGATGATGTCATTCTTGCAGATATTAAGTAACAATATAAGATATACATTTATACTGTGGTACTTGTGTGTAGAACAGACAACAGGTGGTTGGGCAATCCCTACCAACCTATTATCTGTCTAACAAATTATAGCAATTTGGGGTATAATACATATATAAAAATGACTTTTAATAAAATAAAGACTGAGGATGATGGTAATAAAATCTTCCATAACATTTATAAAAAGTACATATTATATTGGTACTTTAGTTAAAACTTTGGTAATACATCATATATTTTTAGAAGAAGTTTAGAGTCACCCACTGGGATAGAATAAAAATTACCTTTAGAAGACAAATTCTTGCTCAAAATCATTTTTTGCCAAAACTTGTAAGTACTTTTTTATCTCGCTTTTGAATTTCATCTTGTGATCGACAGATTTTATTGAATGTGGTAAGTTAAACCAATCTTTGATAGCATTATAGAAAAAAGATGATGATTCCACACCTTTTATATAAGGAATGTTGAAATTCAGATCACTGTTCCTGGTAAAGTGTTTTTTCTCTGTTCTAGTAAAATTTTCTTTCATATAGGATGGACAATGTTATGTTGAATATTAAAGACATGACCGTAGTAATTTATTTCTTGTCATTTTCTTAGAGACTACCATAACCTGATTACAAAACGGCAATCAGAACCATGTTATCTTCAAAATTGGATTTTTAAGAATTTTTTGTAATCATGAAATTTCACAATTGTTTTTTAGCATTTTCCTGAAAACAATCAAAAAAGCGTACAATGTCAATAACATGGTATATATGGAAGAATTTGTTTTCTCTTTTTTTTTACCACAATTTCAGAACCAATCTATTCTATTGTAAAATGAAAGATTTTCATGCCAAATATCAACCCTCACTCCGGAGATGATGCTAAAATGTTACTTCTCAAAGAGTTACCTCCCCTTACAAAACACAATGTATGACATTAATAATCTCATTTAATTATATATATTGATGCACCAGTCTCAGTGGTAATTACACTTCTTCTTTCTTATCGTTCGCCTTTACACTTTAATACCAGTCTCCTCAACAAATCTGGTGGTCTTCTGTGCTGAGGGCATCCACTGGTCCATATAACTTTTCTTTGAGTGGTGTTGGTGAATGACATATCTTATCTCTCATGATCATGATCAGTGCCTGATGGATCTTGCATGACTGTAACAGGTGTGCAGTATCCTGCTCTGCTTCTCCACAAGGACACATTGGAGATGAAACAACTCTCATGACTTTGTATAGATGTTGATTGAGTCTGTTGTGTCCTGTCGGAAGATGGTAGTTTGGTCAGATCTTGTTGGAGGTAACTGTCTTGTTGCTGATGGGTGTTGAACAGAGATTTGATGATAGCTACATCTCTGTGTAGCAGACTGGATTTTCCTCCTGTTATTGTTCAGCACCATTCTTTGCTAATTTATGGGCTTGTTCATTACCCCAAACTCCACAGTGAGAAGGAATCCACTGTAGAACTGTTGTCAGACTTTTGATGGTGTATAAAGCTTGTTCAAGTTGAGGTAGCTTGTCGTTTGTCAAAGCTTGTAGCACAGAGAGGGCATCAGTCAGGAATACTACTTGAGTTGTGTTATCAACTTTGTTTTTGATGGAGTGTGCAGCATGAATAAGGGCTTCTTCTTCAGCTTTGTAGTTTGAACAATGTAGGCCTGTTGGTAACTTGGTATTGCTTCTGATTGTTGATCTCCGTTGGGGTACTTAATGTATATACCTGCCCCTCCTTTTGTTGTGGCATTTGCTTACCAAGGAGTCTGAAGGGTACTTGTCTTCAAGCGTACTCATTGTAATTACACATGATCTGATATGTTTTAGTCAGATAAATCATTAAAATAATATTTAAAAACAAAAAATTGTATTTGTACATGGTGTATGATCTGACAAGTTTTACTTATTTAAGAAATTAAAATGATATTGAAAAACAAAAGCAGTGTTTGTAAACTCAAGTCAAGACTGGGTGACAGTAACTTAATTTAAAAGTTTAATCATTCAGAAACAAGTAAATAGTACTGAAATTTATACAAATATACATCATTTAATGTTTAAAATATATACAGAAAACAAAAAGAACAGATACCTTTACACGATAGGTAAACAACCTTTAATGCAATATCCTTCTTGCGAGTTTTGTCTGGTACAGGTGGGATTTGTTTATGTTTTCGAGGCGAGGTGTCCGCCATATTGGATTTACCGTTATACTACCCCTTGGGATTTCAACAGCATTTTTCATACCAAGAACGGTTTTGACAGATTGGCATATACATATATTTATTTTAAGGGATAATTACTGAACATTTGTATATAATTTTGATGGATGTACTCGGTTTTATAAGGAAATTGTCGCTTCCGCTCCTTACGTTTCTGCCATGATATTTGTAATATAGACTGTAGTAAAGTGACGAGGGATATTGAAGATAAAATTCCTACCATGTATCCATTTCTATAACATGGACAAGCACGATGGAATCTCTCTTCTTCCGATGGTATAAAAGTGTGACGAAATTTTGGTGCGGGTGGAAATTCAATTGGAGTTATCTCCCCTTAGCTTTGGCATAGCTACCAATTGAGCTACCTGGTCGCCGACGTTCGACCAAGTCTAGTTCAGCTACAAACAGGTTGGGCACAACAGATCATATGGGTAATCATCCTGTATTTGGGTAACATTTACCCATTTTATTACTGAAATGTGGAATAAAGTAATAAAAAACACACAAAGTTGTTTTAAAAACTTGGAGCAAAAAAGGACATTAGTTTGATCCTTTGATGTACATCAAAAGAATCTCATGATAGCGGAAAGGTAAAAATTGAATATCTTTGAAGTGGGGTATTGCTCCTCTGTAATCTTCAAAGAAAAGGTATCAACTTGGCGATTGGTCCGGTTTCTTAACCTGAAACCAATCAAATAGCTACCTTTGTGCCTTCAGTCTTGCTATTACATATTCTAAGGGTGCAGAGAGCAAAAGTGAGCATAACACCTGGAGTATGGAGGATGTGCAGCTACCATAACACCTGGAGTATCGAGGATGTGCAGCTACCAAAACACCTGAAGTATGGAGGATGTGCAACTACCATAACACCTGGAGGATGGGGGATGTGCAGCTACCATAACACCTGGAGTATCTAGGATGTGCAGCTACCATAACACCTGGAGTATCTAGGATGTGCAGCTACCATAACACCTGGAGTATGGAGGATGGGCAGCTACCATAACACCTGGAGCATTGAGGATGTGCAGCTCCAAAAACACCTGGAGTATGGAGGATGTGCAGCTACCATAACACCTGCAGTATTGAGGATGTGCAGCTACCAAAACACCTGGAGTATGGAGGATGTACAGCTACCATAACACCTGGAGTATGGAGGATGTACAGCTACCATAACACCTGGAGTATGGAGGATGTGCAGCTACCAAAACGCCTGGAGTATGGAGGATGTGCAGCTACCATAACCCCTGGAGTATTGAGGATGTGCAGCTACCAAAACACCTGGAGTATGGTGGATGTGCAGCTACCAAAACACCTGGAGTATGGTGGATGTGCAGCTACCAAAACACCTGGAGTATGGTGGATGTGCAGCTACCAAAACACCTGGAGTATGGAGGATGTGCAGCTACCAAAACGCCTGGAGTATGGAGGATGTGCAGCTACCAAAACGCCTGGAGTATGGAGGATGTGCAGCTACCAAAACACCTGGAGTGTCGAGGATGTGTAGCTACCATAACACCTGGAGTATCGAGGATGTGCAGCCACCATAACACCTGGAGTATCGAGGATGTGCAGCTACCAAAACACCTGAAGTATGGAGGATGTGCAACTACCATAACACCTGGAGGATGGGGGATGTGCAGCTACCATAACACCTGGAGTGTGGAGGATGTGCAGCTACCATAACACCTGGAGAATGGAGGATGTGCAGCTACCAAAACACCTGGAGTATGGAGGATGTGCAACCACCAAAACCAATTTCAGATATGATTGTAAGATCTGAATGTACTCATGGTCATAAAAACAATTGGTTTGATTTCTGAACACCTTACCTCAAAATAACGTCATTTAAAGTGTACCCTGAATGAAAATAATAATAAATTATTCTAATGCCACGCTACCACAATTGGAACACGGTCAGAAAATGGTAGCACTTTAAAGTTCATGTGTGTATTTTGTTCATTTGTGTATTTTCTTCTGGTGGTATAACAACGGAGATATTTATCAGATTTTCCACCAAATACTTTTGTTTTCAGCAATATGCAAGTGCAATGACTTCAAATTAAATATGTCACAAAACCAGAAAAAAATGTATACATGTCAACAAAATTTCTGTTGATTTTGAAGAGTTAATTATAAGCATGTTTAAATGTTACATACTTTTAATGTATCGAATATATGGGGTGGGGGTTATTTTCTTCATACCTTTTTTAAACATTTTTTATTCATAATTACTATTTTTTTGGAACAAAGTCACAGGAGGCAGATAGATATGAATAATGAAACCATAAACAACTTCCTCTGATCGCATAAAAAATAGCATGCACACATCGTCCACACATGGTGCGCACAACTGTGCGATTTGACAATCGTTCGCCCGGTTGTGCAATTGGGTACAATTTGTAGATCAATATTACGGAATGAAAAAAAAATGGAAAGCTTGTATGCAATAATGAAAACTATGTATTACAGTAATTTCTCATCAGAATAATAAAGATTATGTACAGTTTTACAATGCGTGTAACACAGCATTACAGTGACCGTAAGACTCAAGAATGGGTTTGACTCCAAGGTAACAGAACAGGTAAATAACAATTTGATGAGTGACTAGAGATTTACCTGGCATGTACCTGACATATATAGAGCTGATATATGCGATACCGTATGACCGTACTGAAAACACAACTGTAATTTCACATGTGTCGATTAAGGTTGTTTAAAAAATACCAAAAACACAATTTCTAAATTTAAGAAAGTATAGACATAAAGATAAGTTCATATATATGTAAAAATCAAGGATATATGTTTAAACACGAAACTGTATATATTGTAAAGGCATTTATCAATTAACACCAACCACAATTGTTATGGCACAACTTTCGTCCATCGTGCACACAAATGTGCACAAGCAATGATCATCCAACTTTTTATCGTTAACACACCGTGCACACACAGCTCATCGTGTTACGTTGTGCGATCCCAAAGCTGTATTTAGACAACTGCATGCTAAAGTTGACGGAGTACTTTAAGTTTGTTTAAATAATTTTGATTTTAGCACACTTCCTAGGTCAAAGAAATAACAGCATTTATTTTTGAGGACACTAATGATCCACTAGCCCAAAGTTGAATTCTACCAGCCCGCCAAATACAAAATGTTTAAGCTGACAACATGATCACACAGTCTTTATCTCATTAACAGATGAATATGTTTTCCTTCAAAAAAATAAAAGTAATTTTATATTATTATTTGATAACTGAATGGCTGGGGGGGGGGAAAAGAATGATTTACAACAAAGAGGGCCGTTTTGGTGGTTAGTATTGACTTTCAATGCTATTAAATATTCACACATAACACACATGTGAAAGGCAATAGAACATCTTGCATCATCGATACGGCGTGAATGACTCCATCTTTTCTGATAGAAATTGCAGTGAAATTACCTGGAATTTATAGGTTTAAAATTGTGATTGGTTACGGTACCCTAATGATGATAGAATTGAACTGTAGCATTTTTGTTTGCTAAGCCCCGGGCTAGTAAGCCTCTAAATTTCACTAGCCTAAGCTGAAAATCCGGTAGCCCCAGGCGTCCGGCTAGTGGATTTTTACATTCCTGATTGGACCTCTTGTCCTCTAACATCAGGGATGATTAAATCATATTCTGTTTCCATTTTGGCAGAAGATGCAATATTTTACTAATGTAAGTTATTTTGTTTCAGATGTTGTAGTATCTCCACCAGCTATCTACCTGGAGTACACACGGGAAAAGTTGAATCCCAACATTGGTGTTGCTGCACAAAACTGTTATAAAGAGGGCAAGGGAGCTTTTACTGGTGATATCAGGTCAGTTAGCTCCAGAACAATGATAAGATTATACCTCTATTTTACACGTATATCAGTGGACATTTTCTCCCGCGTCCAATTTGAGGCCTAATCATTCCTTAAGGGAAATAGTCGGCTTTCCCTCTTTATTATGTTAGAAATTATCAAAAATAATTATATTATACCAGGTCGTTTTTATCTCACGTGGCCCAAAGGACCAAGTGAGCTTATGCTCTGGTGCTGCGTCTGTCGGCCGTCCATCTGCCGTCGTCCGGCGTCAATATTTTACTTTAAACAACTTCTTCTTAATAACCAAAATGCCTAGGGTGATGATATTTATCCAGTAGCATGCTGGGATGAAGGGCCACCAAGTTTGTTCAAATGAATGACCTCCACTTATATTCAAGGTCACAGGGGTCAATTTTCTAAAACACCTTTAAACAACTTCTTCTGAATAACCAAAAGGCCCAGGATGTGTATATATTTGGCCAGTAGCATGCTATGATAAAGGGCTACCAAGTTTGTTCAAATGAATGACCTTGAGTTATTTTCAAGGTCACAGGGATCAAATATGTTTAAAATCTTTAAACAGCTTATTCTGAATAACCAAAATTCGCAGGATAATGATATCTGGCCTGTAACATTATGGGATGAAGGGCTACCAAGTCTGTTCAAATGAATGACCTTGACATTTATTTAAGATCACAGGCATCAAATATGTTCAATTTTTTTTAAACGTCTTCTCCTCAATAACCAAAAGGCCTATGATGATGATATTAGGCCAGTATCATGCTTAGATGAAGGGCTACAAAGTTTTTTTAAATAAATGACCCTCACTCATTTTCAAGGTCACAGGGGTCAAATATGTCCAAAACCTTTAAACAACTTCTACTCAATAACCAAGAGGCCTTGGATGATGGTATTTGGCCAGTAGCATGCTGAGTTAAAGGGCAACCAAGTTTGTTCAAATGAATGACCTTTGCTCATATTCAAGGTCACAGGGATCAAATATGTTTAAATCTTTAAATGACTCGTTCTGAATATTCAAAGGGTAATGACATTTGGCCAGAAGCATGCTGGGATGGAAGGCTATAAACTCTGTTCAACTTAATTTCCTTGTTCGACTTTCAAGGTCACAGGCGTCAGATGTTTAAATTATTTAATAGATTATAATGAATCGAACACAGATATTTTGCCTGTAGCTGTATATTAGTCCACTTTTAAGATTACGAGTGTGAGATTAATACCAGGTGAGCGATTCAGGCCCATTGTTTTTCATTACCAGACTTAAATAGTTAAACCAAAGGTAAAATAAAGTTTTATACAAAAATAGTTTTGATAACGCATCTATTTGCAGTGAAATTCTGTCAACTTTCAAAAGATATCTTTGTATGTAAATCATGTATTATGACTAAGTACCTTACATAAAAAAAAAAAGATAAAAAGTTTGGTGCATTGGGCTGTGTTTACTTTAGACACCGTCCTTCTTTTCCAGCCCCGAAATGATAAAGGACTGCGGATGTAATTGGGTAATCCTCGGCCACTCTGAAAGGAGAAATGTGTTTGGTGAAAATGATCAGGTAGGTCTGCACATCATTCTTAGTTAATCATTTAAAAGTTGTTTATTTCTGTCCCCAGAAGTTTTTTCTATTGATTTATGTGGAGACAAGTTGCCTGTTTCTATGAACAGAAAATCTTGTTCATTCCTTGTTTAGCTATACCAATTTTGTGATTTAGGTCTTAAGACACTATATTTCGACAAACACAAATATTGTTTGTATGATATCTCTCTATATATATAAATGTTTAAATTTGGAAAAAAGTATCTGTTGCATACAAGAATCATTGTCCAGTTTTGGAATGAGTCTTGTGAATATTGCATGACAAAAATAGAAACTAGGGCATTAAATCGTCATTTTTTTGTCTCGCTGCCACAAAGAAGCAGAAGCGAGACTAAGGTGTTGCTTTTTTGGCGACGGCATCAACATTAATTTTTAGTATTTAAGTTAGTTGCTCTGAAAGTATAAGTGCTAGACCAACCAAACTTGACATGTGTGTTGATGGTAAAAGCGGCACACAGGCGTGACATATCAATCTGATTGGCTTGTTACTAATTTACAATTTAAAATCCTAACTTATATAAAACAATCACTGTACTTTTATCAAAATTTGCATTAACACTTCGGGGTCAATCACCAGCGACAGGAGCTCAATTGGCTCGAATGTCTGTCTAGGGTTCAGAGGTCTTGGGTTCAATAGTTGGACTGGCCATGTATTTTTCCTCTCCTGTTACAAATCTATAAACAGACTTCCTTAAATAGCTGTGATATTATAGGAAAAAAAATCTGTAGGGTAATGATCAAAGTGTGGATTGTCATATATCACAATTAGGACTTATATAAGACCAGTCCATAGTGCTGTACACATGTATACAGTCTGTCATTGCTTCATGTTGTAGCTGATCGGTGAGAAGACTAAGTACGCCCTCAGTCAAGGACTTGGTGTGATTGCCTGCATCGGGGAAAAGTTAGATGAAAGGGAGTCCAATAAAACGGAGGAAGTGGTGTTCAGACAGACAGAGGCTCTGATAGGTAGAATGACATAAAACAAGATTTTACTGTAATTCTTTTGTCCTAGTTCATGTTCATTTTACACTGTTTAGCCTGTATTAATATTTCTTTACTGCTTGGCCCTGTAGTTAGGTCATATTGATCGATGTCCATCAATTTTTATTGATATCACTTACTAGATATGAAAAATCTGGCCAAGCAGACTTAACAAAATAATTTCAGAATTTTCAATTAATGTAGATCTCCAATAAGATTCATCAGTTTGGAAATATGTGATATCAAAGTTTTACTTTCTACACAAACAATGTACGTATTAAACGTGTCGCAACGTTTCAAGACCGACTGGCCTTTGTCAAGCTATGACTCAAGACCGACTGGTCACTTTGTCAAGCTATGACTCAAGATCGACTGGTCACTTTGTCAAGCTATGACTCGAGACCGACTGGTCCCTTTGTCAAGCTACCATTATGGCTATGTGAGTCATAGCTTGACAAAGGGATCAGTCGGTCTTGAAACCTTGCGACACGTTTAGATTAATACGTACATTGTTTGTGTTAAAAGTAAAACTTTGATATAATATAGATCTGTATACACATTATATCCTACACTTTATTCTGCCGTTTCAGTACTTAATGACATGTATATAAAATAATTAACACAGGAAACATTAAAGATTGGGGTAAGGTGGTGTTAGCCTACGAGCCTGTGTGGGCCATCGGAACAGGTAAAACTGCCACACCTGATCAGGCCCAGGAGGTACATAAAGCACTAAGGAAATGGCTCGCTGGCAAGGTGTCAGATGCTGTGGCTCAGAGTGTTCGCATCATTTATGGAGGTGAGCTGATATAATTTTGTCACTTTTTCAACAGTTTTCTTTTCACTCCAAAACAGCAGGTAAATATTAGACCTGTGTAAGATTTGTATGTTTAAATAGATTGAGTCAAGGCTGAGTATTTTCTTCCCTGAAAGTACAAACAATGCATAAAAAGCAGCCTTACCATTTATTGTATGTCGATGATACGTTTACATAAAACCAGCCTTACCATTTATTGTATCTTGATGATACGTTTACCTGGAATCAAGTTTTATTGTTTCTAACCCAAAAATTCACTGAGTTTCTTCTTCATCATCATTAGTTAATGGTCTTTCTCTCTGACCTTTTTGGTTGTCATTTATTTGTATTATACACATCTGTGTTTTACAGGATCTGTCAATGCTGGGAATTGTCAGGAACTCGCCAAAAAAGAAGACATCGATGGATTTCTGGTTGGCGGTGCTTCTCTAAAACCTGACTTTGTGAAAATCATCAATGCCAAAGATTAACTGATCATCTACTCCTATTGATTAGGTGTAGGTCGTATAATGATGGAACAGGGCTAGGAATGGAGCTGTTGACTGGTAACAACAAGGGATCTGGATTAGCCTTGTCATGCTTTTGTTTTCCTCGCAGAAAAGTTGCTAAACCGAATGAGATTATCTTCATTTCAAGGAGACTGCAGAATAAAGGTTATTTTCACAACAGAATAAGTATGTCGCTTTCTTCCAGTGCTTTAGGGAATGATTGAACTTTATGCCTGAACCAGCAGGTTTATCTCTAGTTTGGTAAGACCACGTTGATAGTAGACAATCCTTCACGGTAAACAATTTGTCTCGTAGGTATAGAAACATCGGCATTTTTAAACTTTAACATTGCAATGTTTCGTTTAAAAGTTGTTTGTAGAAGTATATGTGTGTCACCTTGTTTTCAAAATTATGGTAGCTAAAAATTCCTTTTGGATGTAGATCCCCGCCCCCTTCTCAACGCTTGATGGCTAGTAGCCATTGTTACATTATATATTTTGTTTTATTATGTATCGCATTAAAACGTCATTTTATGTGTAAACAATTCAATGAACCAAAATAAAATTTCTTTGAAACTGTTTTCCCAGAGAATATATTTTGTTTGTTCTTGCTGTTAGGACATATGCATCTCAAACTAATGCTGGTTTTTGGCTATGTTTTATAAACTGTTCCAAATATTATTAGGAGTTATTTAGTCCCCCACCTGTTCCCAGAGAGGGGGGGGGGGGACTTTATAAAGGTATTCCCTTCATCCATCTGTCTGAATTCCACCTATCTGAATAGTTTGTGCGGGTCATATCTTCTACACTATTTCACCTGGAGTAACCAAGTACATCTTGTGATGGCGGATTGTCAATAACAAAAAGGTAGGTCACTGTGACCTATGGTTTAACCTTTGACCTCAATATTTGAAAATGTTTGTCCAGTGCATATCTTTTAAACTATTTCCCCTGGAGTAACCAGATTTGGTATGCAAGTTCATCCTCGGATGGTCGAGTGTCGTGTACAAAAAATAGGTTGCCTTGAACTATGTTTGACCTCGACTTTTGACCTTATTCATGTTTTTTTAAAGTCTAAAGCATCTCTTCTGTCCTTTTTCACCTGGAGTAACCAGATTTGTAAACTAACAAGAAGAGAATACCAAAGTGTCAACATAACCCTAAGTCAAACTCAGAATGGAAAAAAACCTAACTCAAACTCAGAATGGATAAAACCATAACTCAAACTCAGAATGGATAAAACCCTAACTCAAACTCAGAATGGATAAAACC